ACGTTTAACTCTTTCAACACCAGCCAACCAGAAGATTACTGCTGTGACACCAAGTTCCCAGAGACTCTTGTGTGATAGATGAAGCCAACATTTATCAAGGAAATTATCTGCTTGTAAAACATCTTTGCTACTACATGTTTGACCATACACTATTTGAAAGGTCTAATTAATCCTATTGTTTAAAAATATGAAAGTCATGTGTTTTACATTATTTAAATAATTCATTAACAACTTAATAAAGTTAGTTTTAAATAAAAAATAATTCAAGCTAAAACATTCATAACGTCTAGATTAAGGACCAATGAAGCGAAAATTAAACGATTTTCAGCAAATATAAGATTTCATAAAATCCACTTACCTATTTCTTTTTTATTTTCATTTGTTTACATAGTCGGAACATTATTTTAAAAAGAATTAAAAATAATATCTATCATCACCCATTTCCTGATGATAGTGGCTGTCTGCTCACTAACATGAGGAAATACCTCCGTTTTCAAAGCTTCATATGAATAACACATACGTCGAAGGCTGCCATGTCAGTGTACATTAAAAAAACTTATATTGCTTCACCGACATAGTCTGCTACCAGGTTTGTGATTGTTCAAATTTAAGCACGTGACCTAAGGCAGCCAATCAAATTACAGCAACGGTAATTTTCAGACTTTGGCGAAAGGTTTGGGTTAAATCATGTTATTCTGAATGTTTTAAGCATGAAATCGCGATCTATATTAAAAACATGGAACTTTATGGGGGAGTAGTGCACTTTACCGGGCGCACTTTTTCAGATCCAATTAGCGCTGTGGGGGCTCGAACGCGCTTCGCCGGCTCACCGGCTCTGCTAATTAATGCGTTAATTAGCCGACGCTCTACCACTGGACCACAGGCGCTATCACATGTAATTAGTGCTCGTTTAACAGGTCATTAGAATCCCCATTAACATGCATGCGTAATTCAGTAAACAATGAATTGCGCATGCGTGTGACGTCACTGCCCGCTCTCCCATTCATCTTTTCTTTAAACCACACCCGCAAATGTTTATGTCAACATGACCGACCAATGGGATTAACTGGATTAACGCTTGAAAAGGTAAGAATTTATGGCTAACCCTTGCCCAAAGCCAGCTGACCCTAATGACCGAAAAGGGGTTTTGGATCGTAAAGACGTGTACGTTTCCCTAAGACCGAAAAACGGGTGTTGGATCATAAAGTTGTGTAAGTTTCCCTAAGACCGAGAACGGGTGTTTGATTGTAAAGATGTGTAAGTTTCCCTAAGACCGAAAACGGGTGTTGGATCGTGAAGCGAGAGTCACCAGAGCGTGAGGCATGGTAGCGGTATAACGAGACAGCGGTGGCACTATAGCGCGGTAATTGAGCGGATGATAGAGCTCGGGCTGCGCCCAGTAAACTGCATTGTTGCCCTTTATGGATGCATAGTGCTAGGTTATGAGCGGTGACAAAGATTTCTTATGCATACATTTTGGCATTAAAGACATCGTGTCCAAGAAATCGGTGCGATGAAAGCCGAGATGTCATTTGACTTACGATTACACGCGATCACACGAAAAGATGGAAATAATAACTTAGATGTCAATTTGGCAAATATTTTTGTTGATTTTATTACTTTGTATAATACAGTGATCGCTCGCTATTGCGCTACCAATGGGGTCCAAATAATTGGTGGGCGTTATAGACGATGAGCCGTTTAACCGAAGCCGAGGCGGGGGAGCGCGCTCGGCAAATCTCAAATCATCAATAGGCCTATGTGTTTATCTCACGTCACGTCAAAATAGTATATATTTTTATGGACCTAGATCTACCTGTAATATCATTCATTTATTAAATCTGTCATATTTCACAATGTCTGAAATACGTATTCCATTCTAATTTATCATTTTTTATCAATAAATTAAAAAATTATTCACTATTTCCCGCGATGTTATTGAAAATAAAATTCTCGGACACACATTTCGACAACGGGTCCGCATCGAACATGTCAAAGAGCAAAATATAGACTATTTTAAGCAAATCTTTAAATATATTATACAAAGTGATAAATAAAATCAACAAAAATATATCTAAAAGTAATCAAACTTACATCTAAGTTATTATTTCCATCGTTTTGTGCGATCGCGTGTAATGTAAGTCAAATGACATCTCGGCTTTCGTCGCCTTGAATTCTCGGCTCGGACACAACGTTTAATGCAAAAATATATGCATGAAAAATCTTTGTCACAGCTCGTAACCTAGCACGATACATTCGCGAAGTTCCATATTTTTAATATATATCGTGATTTCCTGCTTAAAACGTTCAGAATAACACGATTTAACAAAAAATCTTTCGCTAACTTCTGAAATTTATCAAACACGAGCTTTGTATCAAAGCTTGATTGGCTGCCTGAGGTCACGTGCTCAAAATTGACCAATCACGAAACTTGTAGCAGATTTCGGCAAGAAAGCGTCATTAGAAACAAATTTTAATCCAATGAAATCGCTTGTTATAACTACGGGGAAAAAACAGGCGATGTTACGAAAGCGCGATTACGAAATGAATGACCGCCGTGTTGTGACAGCAACTACATTTGTGTGACAGTTTAGCCTTAAATTGGATTGCCCACTAATTAAGAATATAAACTTCACTTGTGGTTCTCTTTTATTGCATGCATGCGCTTCTAAGATCAAAGGATGTATAGTGTGAAAAGTTAACTAGTTGAACAATCGTATTTCCGGGACTTGCCGCGGATATTTTCAAACAGATTATTAGAACTCCATTCAGCGATAAACCGTTGATTATGCAATGAGAAGCGTTATGTGCAAATAAACAACGAACAACAATACAATCATGTCTGTGTAAAACTCTCAGTATTAAAAGTGTACATAAATTTTGGGAGCCATGCGTTACCGCGCGTAATAACCGAAGTAGCGCTTTATCGAAGAGCGCAATAGCGAGCGATCACTGTATATTCAAAGATTTGCTTGAAACGTCTTTATTTTGCTGTTTGACATGTTCGATGAGGACCCGATATCGAAGTGTGACCGAGAATGTTATTTTCAATAACATTGCGGGAAATAGTTTCTAGTGAATAAATTTTTAATCTATAGATAAAAAATGATAACATCAAATGGAATACGTGTTTCAGACATTGTGAAATTTGATAGATTTAATAAATAAATGATATGACAAGTAGGTCAATAAAATTATAAACTATTTTGACATGACTTGGTTGGTCTACCCTGCGGTGTGACTCATGGCTTCTTGACTGGCCAACAGTGTTGAAATAGTTAAACTCGACGAGGAAATGAAATCTTTTTATGTTTAAACTTTTTGACGAAAAGATCGGCGGTAATAAAAAAAGGGTAACTTTCATTTTTTTTTTTTTTTAAACATTTGGACTTTGAAAGAGTGACACGCATCCGTAAACCAAGAAATAACAAAAGTGTCACCTAAATTGAATCAGTGAAAGCTGTCTTAAGCCAAGTCAGCATTATTCCAGTCATAGCATAGAGTTTAGTACCTCCAAAGTAAATGAATGCGTGAAAGCTGTTTTACACCAAGTCAATATTCCAGTCATAGCATAGAGGTTATGACCTCCAAAGTGAATGAATGACTGAAAGCTGTTTGACACTAAGTCGGCAATATTCCTGTCATATTACAGGGGCAATTCCCTTCAAGTGAATGAGCTGTTTAATGCCAAGCCAGCAATATTCCTGTCATTTTAAAGAGGCGATTCACCTTAAAGTGAATGAGTGAAAGTTGTTTAATGCCAAGTTGGCAATATTCCTAGCATATTACAGAGGTGATTCACCTTAAAGTGAATGAGCTGTTTAATGCCAAGCCAGCAATATTCCTGTCATTTTAAAGAGGCGATTCACCTTAAAGTGAATGAGTGAAAGTTGTTTAATGCCAAGTCAGCAATATTCCTGTCATATTACAGAGGCGCTTCACCTTAAAGTGAATGAGCTGTTTAATGCCAAGTCAGCAATATTCCTGTTGCATGACAGTAATTATTACAAGAAACACACAATATAAACTGGTGTTTAAAATAGAGACATATCATCAGTTTGTAACTTTCTGTAGATCTGGCAACTGTTTCAATAGGAATATGGAAGAGGTCATCTGAGGATGGCTTTAGTATTTTCAGACGAGCTTCAACCCTGGCAGAGGGTCCATACTGCCTCTTCCTTCTTGCTTTGTATTTACTCCATGACCGCATGGCTCATTCACGAAAAAAATATTGACAGGAACTTTGGGTGACGTTAGCCAATGGCAAGGTCGAGTCGTTGCTGGTCACGTTTCCTTGTCAGAGGTAAATTGAGAACAAGTCACTAGTCAAGTGACTTATGTCAACTATTCAATAAAAGTACTTTTGTGAAATTTCTTTGGAAATAGTAAGTTACAGGCATATTGTTTAGATGGAGTACATACATAAGTTTTTTTTATCTGAAACTGAATAGGGAATGTAAAAAATATAGCTTTTATCAATGATTGAGTGAGTGAGTGAGTGAGTGAGTGAGTGAGTGAGTGAGTGAGTGTGTGTACCTTTACACCACTTCTTGTAATGTTCCAACCATATCATGTCTGAAATAAACAGGGTTTGACACCATGTAGGAAATCAAACCCAGATCTTCGGTGTAATAAGCCAGTGCTTGAACCACTAGGCTATCTCACAGGCCAATGAATTAAGCTGTACATTTATTTGCAATACGAATGTACACTACATAATCAAATGACATTGGGCTTAAACAGTGTTTCGGACGTTAGAAATTAGTCCTATTCGAGTGAGTGAGTGAGTGAATATTGTTTTACGCCGCTTTTAGCAATATTCCAGCAATATCATGGCAGGGGAAACCAGAAATGGGCTTCACACATTGTACCCATGTCGGGAATCGAACCCGGGTCTTCGGCGTGACGAGCGAACACTTTAACCAGTAGGCTACCCGACCGCCCCAGTCCTATTCGAGATAACTCAAAGCATACCAAATACTTCAAAGCAACATACTTACATTTTCCAGACAGCTTTCAAATCCTCTCAACCACGTCATGGTTGTTTTTTCTCCTTGTCACGTCGACATATTTCCTAGAAAATTAAAGCATTATCACTATCACCTCCTGGTATTAATAAACATTTCTTACATCTGAAATAATGACAGGATATGTAATGGACTTTCTGGACACAAACACAGGCCTGGTTGAGTGATTACATACAGCATATTATAAAATGCAACCAGACATAGACATGTCTAGGGGATGAGCTCCTTAGAGCTTGGGGAGACATGATATACCGGTAGGTGTGAGAATGGGGTAGGGGGTGGTGGGGGTGGTGGGGGTGGTGGGGGTGGTGGGGGTGGTGGGGTTGGTGGGGTTGGTGGTGAGGGATTTGGGAGGGCATGTGTGGTTTAGTTATTTTTACAATTTTCAATCATCAAGGTACTCTCAGTCATAGAGCTGTTATCAATTTTGAAGGTACTGGTACTGTCTATTATCAAAGTATAATATTATCTGTTACCAAGGTACTATTAGTAACCAAGGTAATGAGTGAGTGAGTGAGTGAGTGAGTGAGTATGGTTTAACGCCGCTTTGAGCAATATTCCAGCAATATCACGGCGGGGGACACCAGAAATGGGCTTCACACATTGTACCCATGTCGGGAATCGAACCCGGGTCTTCGGCGTGACGACCAAGGTAATGAATGTTACCACCGGGTATTGTGCAATAATAAGGTATTGTCAATTATTATGGTATTAACTGTTATAAAGGTATCATCAGATGGAAAATTAGTATCAGGTATCAGCTACAAATTGTCCACCATCAGATATTATCCTGTACCACAGTTGTTATCTTACTGATTGTGATAATATTCCATTTTTCCAGCACTTGACAGACAGTAGCACGACATACTAACTATGGTTAAAAGAAAATGCAGAAATATCTGCCTCATCCCAAAAGTAATCTCACTACATTTTTAAAACAACAGAAACAAAACATTTTTACTTTGGCCTTAGATGACAGATAAAACGCTCAACATATTTTTTCCTACACATGCTCTCATTATCATGATTATGCAAATGATTTAATTGATAACGACACTGGCAAAATAAAACTCATATTAGCTCCTAAATTGTGTTTTTGATATATTTAACAATTCTATGGGTGAAATTATTTCAGCGTACACAAAAAGTCTTGGGATCAGCATTAAACTGGGACACATTATATCAAGTTGCTTTGAAATGAGAGAATGTTCCCTACCTCACTCAGTGTCCTTGGCTGTTATAGGCTCACTGTAGGTGCGATATAAAGCCGTAAATACCAACTGTGACTTTTCAAGCCAGATTATCCATGCAATTCAGGTAAAAATGCTTTGATCACATGCAATATAAGATTTATATGACAGTTGCACAGGTATTGCAAGCACATACTGCATCTAAATTACTTTCAGACTATGTGAATGTTGTTTTAGAATTTGTTACATAAAAAATTCAATCCTAAATTGATGAAATTAATGAGTTCTGGGTTAATGACCATACAGACATTGGCCCATGGTGGTTGGGTTAGATTTAGTGAATGCAACTTTTTCATGCATTTTTTCTGCAATTAAGTGCCTCATATGAAAAAGTCTATATCACAATATTTTCAAAACAGGGACATAAAAGAAGCTTGGCTATAAAACTTTATGACAGCACCATTGAAACTGATTTAATGCTGTAATTACTAATTAATGAAAGGTATTAAATAGACTTATACATTTTAAGCTGGAGAGATTGACTGCCGAGGGTGGTCCTTCACTCATGATGCTTTAATAAGGCAATATGTCCAAATAGTTTGAGTCATATCCAGAGGGGGTACTTAGAACACACCCAGTTTTAAATCTTTCTAGCTTCATTGTTTGTTTCTTGTTTAAAACCACATTCAGCTATATTCCAGCTATATGACGGTGGCTTGTAGATAATCAAGTCTGGACCAGATAATCCAGACATCAATATTGAGTGGGTGAGTGAGTATGGTTTTACACCGCTTTTAGCAATAATCCAGCAATATCACGGCTGGGGTCACCACAAATGGGCTTCACACATTGTACCCATGTCGGGATTTGAACCTGGGTCATCGGCGTGATGAGAGAACACTTTAACCACTAGGCTACCTGACCGCTCCTCATCAATATTGTGAGCAACAATCCACACAATCGGGGTACGAGGACACGCTATCGACCAAGTCACTGAGCCTGATCACCCGATCCTGTTAGATGCCTTTTACATTATTGCAAAATCAACATTTGATTTGTTTTGCTTGTTTGTTCTTTCATGCTGAGATCAGCAATATAACAGCTATATCATGTAGACCTGTAAAGAATTAAATCTTGACCAGACAATCCAGTGATCAATATCGTGAGCAATGAACCATGTTGTCGGGGTACGAGGAAACGAGAGTCAGCCCCCACCCAATTAATTTAATCGCCTCTTACGACAAGCATGGGTTGCTGGGGACCAATTCTAACACGGATCTTCACAGGGGGTGTTTTATTGAGTTACGCTTCACACAAAGTCATCATGTTATATCATGTGCCACATAAACCAGAGGCGTGTTCAAGAGGGTGAGAGTACAGTGAGGCAATATCACGCCTTTCTGAACGGGAGGTGCGTACTCGCTTTGGCGGCACAGCATCCAAAATGGTGTCGCCGGGGATCAAAACAGCCCTGTCCACAAGTGTCATAGGTTCACACATTTAATTTCATCACAAGTTTGATGGGTTCATACTTTAATGTTCATGATAACAAAGTGTTTATTTTTATTATTAGTTACATGTCCCTGTGCAGGACCAGACAATCCAGCAGTCGACATGAGCATCGGTCTGTGCAATGGGGATACGATGACATGCATCACCCAAGTCAGCGAGTCTTATCACTCGATCCTTACGGCAAACATATGGGTTGCGGAAGACCTATTGTCTTCCCTGATCATCACGGGTCAATATATTGAAAATGCAAAAATAACTTTTTGATGGTAGATCTTATCTAAAAGATTATTCTTTTGACATCTGTTCCATTCTCGTCAAAGGCAAACATTTGTTCAATGTGCGACGCCATCTTGGATTACGAGGCGAACTACCTCTCGGACTTGATCGCGTGGTTAGCTGTGTTCAACAGCGCGCTCTTGCGTAATATCGCGAGTGACCGCCCTCCTAAACACGCCTCTGATATTATAGTTACCACAGTGAAGGGCAAAGAAATATAATCACGACTTGTCTGATAATTAGCAGTCTGATTAGTCATTTGCTGTCTTGTATAAAAATCCCTATCAATGGTTGCCTACCAGCACATTACAACATCCCAATAAATCAAACATATTTCCCTGCGAACAAATCATTATAACTTGTGAACTCCTAGTGATAAATTGGGTCATGTGGTGGTGTACAGGGTTTAATGAATTGAATACACCATGGCGAGACACATTTTGTAAGGTGACACACTGACAGTTGTCATGTGAGGTGAGGTGAAATGGGGTTTAACGTCCAAGATTATTGCACTTACATAGCGATGAGTGTGTGTCTGCATGCATGCACTCAGCAACATTCCAGCTATATGGCAGCAGTCTAAAAACAATGGAGTATGGACCAGACAATCCATGATTGACATCAAGAGCATCGATCAACGCAATTGGGATACAATGACATGCATCAACCAAGTCAGCGAGCCTGACCACCCGATCCTGTTTGTTGCCTCTTACAACAAGCATGGGTTGCTGAAGACCTATTCTAACCCGGATCTTCACGGGCCTTGTCTCTCATAGCTAAGTCAGAACTCTATTATAAATCTGTGTTACAGCAAAGCTGCTATGAAAACACCAAGGTAACTTTGAGAATGAGGCCCCGTCCCATTGATCTTAGCCAGCCTGCCATAAATCCATCAAGTGCAGGAGTTAATAAAGTCGTACTTCTGAAAATGATCAGGTTAAAGTTCCTCGAGAAGAAAAGAAATTCGAGACGATATCTGTCTATTCACACGCACCTATAAATAATCCAGTCTGGACAAAGTAAACCAGTGACAGAAAGCATGAGCAGCAATCCATGGCATCTGACTACAGTCACATGCAATCAGCCAAGCCCATGACCCCCTGATAACTATTTCAGTGTGATCTTGTGACAAGCATTGGATACAGGGGGACAAATTCTTCCCTGGAATCTCCACAAGGTGGAAACTGGTCACTAATGCCCAATACACATTAGGACATAAGGTCTCCAATTCTTCCCTTGAATCCCCACTGGGTGGAAAATGGATAAGTAAGGTGTAGTTTCCAGTGAAAGCCACTGTACACTGATTCTATAGTTGACAATAGCTGCAAAATTGCTGATTCAGCATAAAATAAATATTGATGCATTCATGATGTGAACAGTTCCCTGGGTGTTCTTGATTTGTATTCAAAAGAGCTAATATTACAAGAAATATAGTTTTGAACCTCAAACCTCAGACTATGTTACTAGGCAACCAAGAACCCGTGAAAGTCTTCCTGTGTCACAGTAAAAAAAATTTGACTTCTACTTTGAGGCAGCCCTGAAAAAGCAGCTCAGCCACGTCTGCTTCAGACTCCTGGGACAGCCATGCCTCTGTCAGGCCAAAAGTCAACTGGACCACCTATTAATGATCTTGCTAATCAGCTGGGTTGGCCAGTCATGCAACAATAACATCTCAATACACTAGACCACACAGGCTCTCATGTTGTCACTACACCTTGAAACATACAGACACCAATGCCCCAATACAACTTAGGACACTAGGTCACCAGTGCCCCAATATAACCTAGGACATAACAATGTTTATTCACCAATGCCCAGAATACACCTAAGCACATAAAGTGACCAATGCACCAAATAAGCGTAAGAACTTTGGGCCACCCTTAGCGGTGACCTCCACATATCATGTCCTCACAAAATACTGGACCCCTGTAAAGGTTTACAATACTGGACCACCCATTCCTGTATAAATATTGGACCACCCAGACACTTGTAAAACTAAAAGTTAAGAAGACTGGACCACCCAGAATCCTGTAAAGGTTTAGAAGACTGGACCACCCAGGCCCCCCTGT